GAGTGAGGAGAGTTCGGGTGGTCTCTTGGACAAATCACCCCAAGGGAGAGTTCGGGTGGTCTCTTGGAAAAATCACTCATTCAATTTCCGCAATAGGGTCTGCACGCAAGGGAAGGCGCAAGGGAAAGCAGGGCTTTCGCACCGAGGACCGACCCGTGACGGGATCCTATGCGCAGGCCCATAACATTCCCAACTTGGTACAAATATTCAAATGGCGGGTACTAGAAACACCCTTTGTGAAGATGTCACCCAACTGATCCATAGAGTTTACATAAGGGATACAAACTTCACCAGCTTCAAGCTTCTCATGAATGAAATGCTTGTCAACTTCAATATGCTTTGTTCTTTCATGCATCACAAGATTGTGGGCAATATTGATTGTTGCCTTGTTGTCACAATACAATGACATTGGGCTGTGAACTTCAACTCCCAACTCCTTTAACATATTCTTTAACCACAAAATTTCTGCAACTCCAAGTGCCATGGCCCTATAGGTCAAATCAGGAACAAGAGAAAAAAAAATCCATCCAAACTCCACAGGTCAAACACTTCTACAGTCTTGAACTTTCAAGCAAAGTTAAGAACATCCAGCACACAGAAACACAGTACAGTCAAGTTAACAACACAGACCTGATATAAAAAATCCAAGAAACTAGGCTTACACTCTATCAACTGGACCACAGACCATACAACTATGTAGAACACAGAGAGACACCTCTCCTTATACTCAAACCTCCATTACAGGATACAAGGGATACACTCAAACAATGACCCTTTCAGTCCCACGACCAGAAAGGGAAAAAATAGAAAAGAAACCCTTACCCAAGCAGTTCCTTCTCAAATCTGAAGTGTTACAGTCCTTTCCAGAGAAAAATGAGAGAAGAAAGAGGAAGAGAAGTCCACTCAAGTACCAATCTGCTGTCACACCCACTCTAATATCATCTGGAATGGAAGAAGAGGGAGAGAAGAGAGAAAATAGCAGAGAAGAGAAGAGAGTTTGCCAAAAGTATTTAGGGGGTGGCACCCCACTAGCTTATATATTAGGGCATTCAAAAAAAGAGGGAATATTACAAGAATACCCCTGATTACACAAACAGAATTAAACACATAAATAGGCCCACAAACAGCCCATTTACGGTCCATTAACAGCTCTAACAACAAGGAGATACAAGCTTAGAATTGTAGTAGCTTACGATATGATAATTTTAAACACATCTTTCAAAAAGAAGGATGAACACTTGAAAACATTTAAAAGTGGATCAAGCATAAGTCAAATAGATTTTTTTCTTACTAGGAGAATAGAACGAATGATGTGTAAGTATTGAAAAGTTGGAGAAAACTTAACCACACAACATAGATTAGTGGTGATAAATGTGTGTATAAGAAAGGGAAGAAAAATAGATGAGAAAACTGCATAAAGTACCAAAGAAACTTGGTGGTAAACTGAAGAGGCTCAAAATATAATCAAATTAAAATGAGCATACTGCAAAGAATGGTAAAAGACTAAAAAACAGAAAACAGGGAAAAAACATAAAACCATAAGGAAGTTCGAAAGAAAATGAAATTAAGTTTAGGGCATATGATGATCTTTATCATAAATTAAGCACTAAATAGAGAGAGAAAAAGGAATTTATAAACTATCAAAGATGAGAGAAAGGAAAGGTAGAGACTTAAACCATGTTAGGTGCATTAAAGAGGAAGATCAAAGAGTTTGGGTAGAAGATGAGAAAGCCAAGCAAAGACAAAAGCTATTTTGAAATTTATTAAACGAACATGTAGAGGGTGCTAATGGAGGAGAGATTAATAATACTAATAATGTTAAAAATAACATGTACCTTCATAAAACTAGAACTACTGAAGTAAAAGAAGTGCTAAATAAGATGAAGAAGGAAAAGTCGTTAAGACTTGATGAGGTTCCAACAGAATTGTGGAAAGGTATGAGATAAGTATGCTTATTATGGCTAACAAAGCTATTTATATGATAACAGAAGAAAAGAAGGTGCCTAGTGAATGGAGAAAGGGTAGTATGGTGCCTATTTACAAAGTTATAATAGCTATCATGAGATTAAGCTCATGAGCCACACTATAAAACTTTAGGAGAGAATAATTGAGCAAAGATTACAACATGAAATAAGTACATCAAAGAACCAATTTGGTTTTATGCCAAGGAGATCAACTATGGAAGCTATTTTTCTCTTGCGACGATTATAGAAAAGTTTAGAGAGAAATAAAAAGGATCATCATATGATGTTTGTTGATCTGGAGAAAGCATACAATAGAGTTCCAAGAAAGATATTATAATAGATATTGGAAATGAATGGGGTTCCAAATAGGTATATAGACTTAATTAGGGATATATATGAGGGTGCAACAACCAATTTTAGAACACTTGTGGGAGAGATATCAGATTTTACAATGAAGATGGGCCTTTACTAAGGCTCAGCACTTAGCACTTAGCACTTATTTATTTGCACCAATCATGGATGAATTGACTAAACATATTCAGGAGGAAGTTCCTTGGTGCATGTTGTTTGCTGATGACATTGTTTTAATTGATAAAACTAATGAAGGATTAAGTGCAAAATTATGTTTATGGTCAAATACCTTAAGAACAAGAGGTTTTAAAAAGAATGATTAAAATGAAATATATGATATGTAAATTTAATTATATAATAGGAGTGAAAATCAAGGTCCATTTAGGAATGGAGACCAAGAGATAACTCAATGTGACTTTCTTCCAAACCTTGGTTTGACAATTCATAATAAGGGAGATATTGAAGAGGATGCCGCCCATAGGATTAGAGCAGAATGCGTGAAATGGAGGGGTGCATATGGAGTTCTATGCATAAGCGAATACCACTTCAATTTAAAGGAAAATTCTATAAAACAGTTGTGAGGCCAGATATGCTATATGGAGCAGAGTGTTAGGTAGTCAAGAAACAACATGTCCAAAAAATGAGTGTGGTAGATATGTACATGTTGAGATGGATGAGATGAGTGGAAAAAAATAGAAAGGACAGGATTAGAAATGAAGTCATTCAAAGGAACCTAGGAGTAGATCAAACAGGTGATAAAATAAGAGAAAGTAGAGTAAAGTGGTTTAGTCGCGTCCAAAGAAGATCATTAATAACACCCTAAGAAGAAGTGATTTGTTACAAGTCGAAGGGGCTATAAGGGCTAGGGGTAGACCAAAAAGAACATGGGTAGAAGTAGTAAGAAATGATTTAAAGTGACGATAATTTAACAATAGATATGACATTAAATAGAGTGGAATGGCGAAACAGAATTCATGTAGGCTTGGATGAATTTGTTCGCTCGCATGACGTCATAAAGAAATTCCTCATTAAATAGAAAGCATAAGAAATTTTTTGTTTCAGATTGGCAATACAATTATTGGAAAATTAGTAAATCGATTATGGTTAAATGGTTAAGTCCATTTAAATAGTTACGCTTGCTATTCTAAAAATGCTATATGGACCTAACCTATAAAAAAAGTACTCATGAACCTAAAGGATATACAATTTGAGGATTTGATGGACAAGGCATTACTAAGAAAAAAAATATATATACCTACGACATTATGGTTAAGCAGCCAGGAAAATCCAAGTATGGACATAGGAATCATGGATATGATAGCAATAGAGCTGCCGCTAGTTCTTGGAGGTATCTGGAATAAACTCATTTCAAAATATCACATGCAAAGGGAAACTGGAAAAGAGGCAACAAATCAGATTTTGGGGCAACAAATGATTTGGCGCATCATCACTAAATATGAAATTTCTTATTTGAGAGTTGAGACAGGCTAAAAGCAGAATCCTAGTAAAGAATGTGCACGAGTTAGTAATCGAATGCTGAAGATTTTTAGTATCAGAAACTCAATTGAACCAGTAACTCATAGGAACAGTCAAATAGAAAAAAAATACGTCAAATCAAAACGACAAGCTTCAAACCTCCAAAGGAGATATACCAAACAAACCAGAAAGAGATCAACTGCACTGCAACGTTGAGACAGAAGGCAAATAGATAGATATTATATGTGCATTTTTGTCGTAACTTGTAATCCAGACAAGAAAATAAGGAGACGAATAAAATTACCCATATCAAGGGTATGAAAAGAAATAAAAATAATAATTTGCAAATTTTTCAGATTGAAAAAAAAAAGCCCAATTGTCCTTGGAATTGAGAAACACCCAATTGCACTCGAAGTCGAGAGTTACCCACCAAAGAGAATCGAACCAAATTGCTATTTCATGAAATGTTCAGGAAAAAGAGTAAAAAAAAACACAATAAAGGTCGGCGGAGAAAAAATTCATGGGAACTGGAGTTGCAGAAAACGAGAAGAAAACAAATGTTCAAAGGAGAAAGGAAGATTACCCGAATTCCCTGCGATTGGAGAGTGGAAACAGCAGAGTCCAGGACCTGTTTGCGGCGGCCCATGATCGCAACAGAGGCACCATGTTTGCCGAACTGAGTGGCTATCTCGAACCCAATTCCAGAGCCTCCACCCGTCAAAAGGGCAACCTTCCCTTTCAGAATATCGGGCTTGAACGGAGACTCCATTGAAGCTCTCTCGCTCGCTCGTGTGTTCGTCTAATTACTTGTCAATTGACGCAGAGCTGAGTTTTGACCGCAGAAAGCTCTCCAAATTTGACGGATAACAACGAAGATCAATGGAGAAAACAAGGGCTGTCCATGTTCGATAGTCCCCACGTGATACATTAGTCTAAAACCATGCCGTAAGCATACGGCTGCGTTTATGAACTAACGTGTCACGCAGAAAGAACTCTGTGGACAGTACAGGCTGTCGAACGTAAGACAGCCAAGAAAGTTTATTTAACAGACAGGTGAAGGCACGTGGTATCTGATAAAACGCTTTTGTCGAATGAATTAGATGACTTCGGAATCCGGATCTCCTACCCACACAAACTCTGCCCACGTCTACCCACAACTCACTAATTGGAAACATCTCCTCCTCCATAATACTATATAGAATGATGAGATATTTTTCATATGTAGCTGTGATGTTATATTGGTAGACGTGGGCAGAGTTTTCGTGGACAGGAGATCTGAACTCGAATTAGATTAGCAACTTCAATGTGGACTTATTAGCTATTAATGTACTATTCTTATCACGTTATTAGTTCGGTTATATTTTTCTTTCATTATTTTTTTTCCTTTTTTAGTATCAACTGTTGATAAAATACGTTCTCACACCCTACCAACATTTGATACCGTACATCTACACGGTGGGTCCTACATTTACACGACGAGTCCCACTTTTATGGCAGGTCCCATGAAATCTCATTGTGAGATGGGTGGTATCAGATGACGTTGGTAAGAATAAGGTTCAAAATATCAATACAGCTCAATATGCCAATATCAGTGTATCGAACTGCATCGTGTCTCATTCCCTTGTTTTTTTTAAATCTAATTCAGAGGGATCGATTTAAGGCATGTTTGCCCCCTGAATTGGGTTAAACCCCGAAACACCCCCTGTAGGGGCATATCAGGAAGCCCCAATATGATACTATTGACTATCAAAATTTTGAACCTTGGGCAAGAGTATTGGAGCGTGTTTTCGAATCCAGATCTCCTGTCCACATCTACCCACATAACATTGCAGCCACACATGAAGAACATCTCATCCTCTGCATAGTATTTATGCAGGGGGAGATGTTCCCAATTCATGGGGGTAGTGTATTGTGGATAGACTTGGATAGAGTTCACGTAGGCAGGAGATCAGGAGTCGTTTTCTTGGCATGAGATCCCAACTCCTACTTCCAACAACGGAACTGGCCCATCCCCATAACCCCTCCAACCCACCCTAGTGGCAGAAATCCCATGTCACTATCACAATGAGTCAAATATCCTACCAAGTAAGACGCCATCAGTGGGGCTGTCATTGGCCAAGTTTGATGAATCAGGAAATCTAACGTATGAGAGGTTAAAAAGCTATTATTCAAATCAGAAATCGGAAAAAGAAGTAGAAATGATTTCAACTTTGCATATGCCCAGCAATGAAATGATAAGAACGTTTGACTTTGAGCAATTCTCTAAGATTTCAAAGTGAAACTTACTATTTTATTCTCAATAATAGTATGACAATTGTGGGCTAGACACTATAAAGAGGGTCTTAGTTCTAGAGACAATGAGTAAAGGATACAAAGAAAATAATAGTGTCAGTGAGCTTGAAAAGGGGAATTTAAGTAATAAAAGGATGGAATCAGAATATCTCTACAAACATCAAGAATAATTCTAGTGAGAAAATGATAGAGTTTCAGTGTGTTTGGCCTTGGATATATTTCTATCCCGTCAAGTACCCTTCTATTTAGAGGCAAAGGAGGGGATTAATTTTGGGCATATCAAGAATTCCAGAATACCATCCAAATAGTTACGAAGATAGGTCTTTGAGCCATTGATGTGGTGGCACATGTCAGGCTACGTTCATGAAGCATATTCACTTTAATCCATACTTGCAAGCACCTACTAGGGGTGGATTCAAGTCAAGCTGAGTCAAATATTTGGTTATTCGAGTTCGGCTCATAAAAATAGTGTTAGGCATGAGCTTGAGATCGAATTCAGCTCAGTTCAAAAGCCTGCAAGTTTGAGATCGGCTCGATTCAAGCTCAACTGCAAGTCAAGCTTTTTCTTAAAAATAAAAATTATACATATAAAAATATTTTTTTATTTTACACATAAAAAATTAAGAATTATAAAAAATATATATTATTATACATACAAAAAATAATTATAAAAATGATTTATTATATAAATATTTATATGTATGTATGTATGTAATAAAAATTATTTATTTATTATACTAGGCTCGATTAGGCTCGTGAGCCTCATGAGCCGAGTTTCACTAGGCTTGAGCTCGACTTGATTAACAAATGAGCCTATATAACAGGCTCGAAGCTCGATTTAAATGAGCCAAGTTGAGCTTGAATAGCTTGTGAGAAGCTTGGCTCGTGGCCATCCCTAGCACCAACCACGGCTTTTTTAGTCGCTTGTTCCCTATGCTCAGTTTTGTCCTTACTAAGCATCTTTACGGACTTGTTTTATTGAGGGATGTCCATGGTTGTTTCCTTAGCCTGAGTTTTAATGTTCTAAAGGTCCACACTTGGTTATATCCGATCATGGTTGCCAGTCTTTGGCATTACTTCATTGTTACATGAGTTTATCCCTTAACAACAATACTATAAATAATAAAAATAATATTAAATAAAAATAGTATCAAATAATAATAATATTATTATTATTATTAAATAAATAATAATAATACTAGTTATTTTTTATTTATTATTATTAAATAAAAAATATTATTATTAAATAATATTTAATAGGGTAAATTTCTTAAACTACCCTTATGGTTTAGTTAATTGAATAAGTATACCTTTACTGCATGAAAATTGACTAACACTATCCCTATTGTTTCAAAAAACTACCATCGCTGTTAAAATATTAATTGAAGGGTTAAAATACCTGTTTTTCCCTTAAATCAAATTTGAAGATCTAGGATTTCCCTTATACCGTTGTTACTATTTTCACCTGTTCCGAGGACGCGCAACCGTTGCTGCTGCTACAACTTGAACCAACGGCGGTAGCAAAAACCTACAGTGAGGCCATGACYTCTAGAGATGCTGCCTTTTGGAAGGAGGTTATAAATGATGAAATGGATTCAATAATGTCAAATAACACATGGGTACTAGTAGACCTGCCTCCAGGATCAAAACCAATAAAACGTAAATGGGTGTTTAGAAGAAAATACAACACTGATGGAACTGTACAAACTTTTAAGGCTAGATTGGTAGCCAAAGGATTTAGAACACTCATAACATTAGCATCCATTTATCACTTATCTGTTCATCAAATGGATGTTAAAACTGCTTTCTTAAATGATGATTTAAATGAAGAGGTTTATATGGAACAACTAGAAGGATTTGTTCTTCCTGAAAATGTGAAGAAAGTCTGTAAACTGATTAAATCACTGTATGGATTAAAACAAGCACCTCAGGAGTGGCATGAGAAATTTGATTCTTGCATTCTAGCTTTTGGTTTTAAATATAATAGTGCTAATAGATGCATCTACTCAAAATTCACTGAAAATTATGGAGTAATTGTATGTCTTTATGTTGATGATATGCTTATTGTGGGTACAAATATGGTTGGCATAAATAAAACTAAAAACTACCTATCATTTGTCTTCAAGATGAAAGATTTAGGAGAATTAGATACCATTTTGGGAAGAAAAGTTAAAAAGCATAATAGGGGTTATGCATTAAGCCAATCACATTATATTGAGAAAAATCTTGAGAAATTTAAGCATTTAGGGTTTAAAAAATATAGCACGCCATATGATTCTAGTATAAAGCTAGTAGAAAATACTGGTAGAGCAATTGCACAACTTGAGTATGCTAGTGCGCAATAGGAAGCTTGATGTATGCTATGCTTTGTACTAGACCTAATATTGCATTTGCAGTAAGTAATTCAGTCGGTTTACAAGTAATCCTGGTGCAAAGCACAGGAAGGCAATTAGGAGAGTTCTTGGGTATCTCAAGAGAACTTTGGAACTTGGCTTGTTTTATTGTAATTATCCAGTTGTACTAGAAGTGTATACTGATGCAAGTTGGATTACCGGTAATTGAAATAACAAGTCCACCTCTGGATGGATTTTCATCCTTGGTGGGGGTGCAATCTCTTTTGCATCCAAGAGGCAAACTTGTATATCTCACTTAACCATGGAATCCGAATTCATAGCCTTAGCGGCTGTTGGAAAAGAAGTTGAATGAGTTATGAATTTATTATTGGATATAAAACTTTGGCCTAGTCCTATGCCTTCAATTTCCATTTACTGTGATAGTAAGGCAACTCTGTCAAGAGCCTATTGAAAGAATGATAGGATCCATCGTATGGACGCCAAAAAGATTGCGGAATGGGTGGGCGATTTTCAAAAATTTTCTACCTTCTTCCAACTGATAATCATATTCCCTAAATTTAGAATACAATATTCAATGATTCTACTTGAACCATAATCGAACCAGATCTGAACCAAAGACAACGGAGGAATTATACATGATCCAGAGAAGCAGTATCTCCCAAAGTTGGTGTTCACGCCCAAAGAGGACACCAAGATCCGCTCCTGCTGAAGATGACACAGCTGTATGTCAAACGGAACCAGCACAGTGCGTCCTACACACTGAATCCTTCGCAAGAATCCACTGGAAACTTTGAGCATCAAATCTTTTCAGTCTTTTCTGCAAAACTGATGTCAAGAACCAATTTCTTGATTTCTTTCTTCTTCAAAGATCAAATCTTGTAAGAAAAAATGGCGGCGGCTAGAGGAGAACTCCTGAGATGAAGATGGCTGAAATTGCTTCTCTTCTCTCTGGAGTGTGTATGTGATCCAATCTCAATTTGCATGATGTTTTTCTTGCACAAAACCCTATGTTCAAAATCTGATCTTGTTCTCTCTTAGTTAGGGTTTCTCTTCTTTTCTTCTTGATTAAGAAACCTCCTAATTAGGAATTATCCCAATCCAAATCAGTATTTGGATAGGGGATGATATTAATCATATCTGCAGAGGTTACCAAATTCAAATCTGATTTGAATTTGGTCTCCCATAGTGGATAAGGTTAAAGGCCCAATCCTTTTGCTAACTTTAATCCCAGATCTGCCCCATAGATGGGTGATCAT